TCTGAGACGACAAAGCAGGCGCCAATGATCAGGCTCGAGTCGACACGGCAATCCTTCCGGTATTGCCTCCAATTCATCGATCGCTCGCAAATAGTTGGAGCATTCTCGAGGCAAGAGATCCGAGTTTCGTCGTTCGACCACGCAAAGAACGAATTCGGCGAGGAACGCGGGTGACGTGCCGCATGGCCCACCAGCCAACACCCTCGGTCTCTTCCGATATTGTCGAAACAGATGCTCCACCATCGATGGCTTCAACTCTTTGAATTCAAATCGAAATTTATCCTCGAGCAATTTGTCCCGTTTCCGCGCATTTTCGTAGCCGATTCTCAGCTCGGCGACACCCGCCTCGAACAAATCCCGCTCCTCGGCAAAAATACGCGCCTCCTCCGTCGCGGAAACTAGTTCTTCGTCGATGACGCGTCGAATTTCTCGTTTCGTTTCAACGATTTTTCTGCGCCGAAGAATTTCTTGCATTCTGAACAGCTTCTGCGAGAGTATCGACCGCTCGACTCGTATCTTTTCCGCGGCCAAATCGTTCAGCTCGTCGTCAAAAGATTTCACACCCTTCGAGAATTCTTCTGGAAATAAAATCATTGTAGTATCGCTGATCACTCGTTTTTTATAATAACTACATACATGTAAATCATTACCTCTGAGCCTTTCGATTTCAGATTCTAACATCAATTTGTACTTTGCTCGATCAATTTCTCGAGCGCGAATCTTCCCCTCGTACGATTCGATCGAACGAATATCTTCCTCGGTATAAGCGGAAGGATCTTTTCGAAGGCAGTCCGGTCTTGGAATTCTTCTCTTCGCGTTATGTTCCAATCTGTGAAATGCGAAATTACGAATCAAGGACACGAGATATTTTACATAAGCATATATATAACCTTAATCTCACTACCTAACTTCTAGAACACCATCCATCATTCTGTCGAGCGCCTTTTGATAAAACTCTTCAACTTTCGACTCTGTGGATATTCCTTCGCAACCAACATTTTCGTCCAATTTATTCGATTGAGCGCAATCGTTCGATTCCTCGTCTCGATCGAAAGTATCTTCCAATATCTCCTTTCGATGCCAATCCGGTGCTTCGAAGAGGCTCGAACTCGCGTCCACGTTGAACACACTTTTCAATTCAAGAACTAGACGTTTTGCTTCTTTCGCGCGTTCGGTTATCGCTCTCATTTCTTTTTGCTTCGCGAATCGTATTCTCTCGAACCGTTCGTTGAATTTTTCCTTCAATTCTCGTTCCCACTGATCCGTAACAATACAAGTTTCGAAAACGTCCACGAAGTCGTGACGACAATTATTCCACGCGTTCTCGTCCATCGTTTGTGGATTCTCCTCTTTCTTCAACCTAATACAGATTCGTGACGACGGATGAAATCGATCTGTCAATCTTGTTTCTTTTTTTAATTTCTTTTCTAAATTTTCTTAGAACAAGCAAATAAAGAAGAAAATTAGAGAGAAACAATTATCCAATATATTAAAAAATAAACAGAAACAAAAAATTTCAAGGATAGAGTAGATAAAATATATTTTAAGAATACCTGGATACCAGTTCCCTGATGTCCATCGAGAAACGACACGGTGACGGAAATTCCGCCTCTCGAGGCGTTAATTGCATAAGAGGATAATTGGTAACCTTCGATCGATCAAAGAACGAATAAATGCTTCTCGGTCGGACAATTAATGGATCCAGGAATCGTTGGCGCAAGTAACAGGTCGAGCGTTGTAATCGCGCGATTCGCTCCTCCGCGTCTATTGCCAATTGTCTCTCCTTTGCCTTGGCCGTTTCTAACGCGAGTTCTCGACCCTCCTTGTTCACATCGAACGCGGATATCGGAAGGCGAGTACTTAATGGCGACTTCTCGTTCTCGTCGAGCAACGTTTTCACCTGTCATTGGATAAAACAAGCACATTATTTTATTACACACTATTAATTCATTTTTAATTTAATCGCACGTTCTTCAAGGATATCAAGATGATTCTACTTGAATTATTAAATTATTACGTTTCGTTCCTTTCATATTATCCTTGTATTTATTTTCACTCGACAAACATATCAGGAATATATATCAATATTCTACGTATATCTACGTGAAAGACGGTAAAAGAGATCGTGATTGGGAGGGGGGAAAATTGTTAATAAATATTCACCCGACTCTTCAACTCGTTCCAATCTTTAAGAACAGAGAGACGCGTCGTCAGAGTTTCTCTCTCTTCGGCCATCGACCGTTTGCGAATCGCCCCTTCGATCCACGTCTCTTCCTCCTGATCCTCCTCTACCTCGATCGTGTCCACCCGTTCGATTTTTCTCCCTTCGCAGCAGCTCGAACCTCGTCCAAGAATCCTAATCGCGATGGACGACACGGTCGTTAGATGTCCTCATCGATTGGTGAAACGAAAAGAAAATTGAAACCGGTAAGGTGACCTGTTGGCGACCAGATCCCCGTTCCTTCCCAGTGAGACGAGCGAGTCGCCGACGAGCGAGGCGAATCGACAGCCACCTTCCGCTCGATGATGCGCGGCGAACAAGTTAAATACCCGCCTTGGCTCGTCACAATCTCTGCGCACGATCAATCCATCGAAGCCGCAGGTGATCAGATTTGGAGAATCGCGAGATTTTGAGCGATGAAAGGAGATCGTGATCCCTCTGGTTTGGTGAAGCGACGGTAGAGCTTCTACGAGAAGCGTATCTTGAAAATTTGCCTATAAATTTTTTGGCCAATGATTCTTACAGTTCGTACGGTTTGAAATAAATAGTTGTTTCTTATTTTAATTTGGAATCATATTAAAAGCTGTCTGCTTTAGAATAAATTATTTTTACCTTCAATTCGATTCGATGCAATTGTTTGGTGAGATACGGGATCCCGATTATCTCGCGGCTCGATTCTCTTCCGTGGTGAATGCGTTCGAAGGAAGAGAGAAGCTTGATCGAACGATCCGCGTTCTCGACGCAGAGATCTCGATCGAACAGTCGACACGAGTACACGACAATTTCGTTTCCTGCACGAGGATCGCTTGATTTTTCGTTTCCAACGAGACACAATACCTTCGCGGAACGATCTTCGTCCATTTCGTAGATGAGAAAATCGATCATCTAAACAGGTGTCTGTGAGTCAGATGGAAAAAATCTCGAGAAATTGATAGCTTACCTTTCGTTCGAGTTCTAACCAAGATGCCACTCTCATGTGTTTCTTGGACTCGTTCGAGACGATGCATACTTGTAAAAGAAACAATCGACCGATTTGAAACGAGGCAACGCCAAATAAACGACCTCCTTCGGAAAATTTAATGCGATCCAAGGCTTCTCGTTGAAGATGAACGCAAATGGCGATTCTTGGACCATGCGTTATCGTCGACGAGTCGATGAGAAGACAATTTCCCGTGAAACTGCAGCTTACCGTAATCGGTAAAGCAGGATGCGAGACCAAGTCGGCAACTGAGTGAGACAAAAATTGCTCTCGTTACGATTGCTCTAGTTTTAAGAATTAACTAAAAAGTAACTATTCTTGACCGACCTTTACCATGATGCGCCAATAGCGTAGACGGACAAACAAGATTGCCAATCTTAACATCGAGAATCGCAAATCGATCATCTTGATCCAAAGTTCCTAAATACGATTTTTGCAACGAAACTATGTTAACGTATTTTACATTCTTCCGTACTACTAAAAATTCGAGTCGAGGATTATCGCTTAACGCGTCAAGCAATTCATAAAGATCCCCATTTTCCCCGAGGATCAATATCCTATCGTGAGATGGATCGCTTTCCGCGTGCCTCGGATACGAAGGCAACGAAGTCTTCCAAGCTGTTTTCCACTCGTCGTTTCGATCTTTTCGCGATTTCCTATAAAACTAACAGTTAGAAGTGAATAGATATCCGTGAGTAAACGTTATATATTTCTAATTTAATGATACCGTATTATACCGTCGCTTGGATGCGATGATTCGACGTAGATACGAGTAACACGCCATCGGCGTGACAAATTAGGTTAGGATTCTTGTCTAAAGAAACATGATCGAAGGAAGAAGCTTGGATCACCGTTCGAATCCGATGTTTCTCTTCAAAATCGATGGACCAAACGGTGCCATACTCGTCGCAACAGAGCAAGCTTCCATCCACAAACCAGGAACAAGAGACTGGGATGCGTTCGAAACAAGTTTCGATTGGAAAGAGGCGAACAGTTTTCGAACAGGCCAACACCCGATACACCGATAGCATACCGGTGGATGTCACGAATTGTGTCATCAGCTGGGAGGAGTCAATCGAACACCTGTTGAAAATTGAATGAATAATTTTATTCTTCATATTGTTTAATTGTTTGATTATAAATGAAGAACTTTACTTTTTACAATTACATTTAAAAAATATTCACGTTTAATTATATTCTATTTAAATATCAGAATAGAATAATCAAAGTAATTCTACTTAAATACTATTCATGGAATATAAGTAGAACTATTTTGATTATTCTGTGATTTTTATATATTCATGGAATATAAATGGAACTACTTTGATTATTCTGATGTTTAAATACTATTCATAGAACATAAATGAACATAATTACTTTGATTATTTTGTGACGATAATTTAATAAAACTTAATAATTTTTTTTTTCATTTACAAAGTAATCAATATATTCTATGGATAATACTTACGTGATTCTTGTGCAATTAATATCAAATTTTGTCACGTCCATTCCGTTTATTTTTGTCAATTGTTCACCCGTTCTCCAATTCCAGAGTAACAAGCAAAAATCAGGGTAAGTGCCTTGACCAATCAGATACTCAGTACCAGCAAACGCGCAGCACAAGTAGCCAATCTTTTCCTCGCTTCCGGTGCACTGACTAATCCTTCGCATCGTGGGATAAGCGAACACCGAGATCCTTGGATTGCATTTCCTCTCGATCACGGAGAAAATCGGTGCCACCTGCCGATGTATCGCACGACACGTTTTCATTCCTTTGTTTATTCATACCAAAGCGAGACGAAAGCGACTCACCGGAAGTCCAGCGAGGCAACACGCACCGTCTCCTCTCTCACCGCCGTCGAATCGCTCCACTCGTGTTTCTTTGCATCCAAATTCATGGAAACGGATATAGATACCGGAGGCCATCGCGATCGTGTCCTTACCGACCAGGACAAAGTCCCGACACTTTCCAAACTTGATCCATCTAACATAAAAAGAGATCACCGTAAAAAGAGATCTAATCAGAATCAAAGCAAAGAAAAGAAAGAGTCGAATATATTATTACTTACGAGGTCTTAACCGTTTCCAACGACATGATTTTGCCAACAATATGATTATCGATGCCGATTAGTAACCTTCACAAATTAAATTTGATATCTATCTAATCTTTATTCTTATTTCGAAAAATACTTTCTCTGGTTGATTATATAATATAATTTTCTTAATTAATCAGTCTGACGAGGATGAAGTAACAAATATTAATATTTATACAAATCCCTGGAAAAGAAGTGGTTGGGTGTGTTCGTTGCCTAGGCAAATCCACCGAGCAACGTCATCGATCACTCGAATTTCCCTTTCCGCGAGTGAAACGCGGTGGCACGCCGCGACCGATTTTCGTGCCGCGTTATTAAGTGTGCCAGTGGATCGTAGGGAACGTAGGAGGTTCGACGACACCGTTATCGTTACTTCGAACGAATGACAATGGAACGACGCCTTTCCACGGGAGCGTATACCGCGTCTCGTTTCATTCTTTCGGATCGGAACAAAGCGGAGTGAACAACCGACACCGTTAATACGACGGAGGTGGCGAATTCGAAGCCGAGGCGAAAACGATCCTCGAATACACAATCCTCGGGCCTTAAACCGTTACGCCCGCTTAATATGCATTCTTCGTTTCCTCGTCGTTCGAGGGGGAAGCATGGCGGAACTTGGAGCGTTCCCTCGCTCGTCCCAACGTTACCATTCGAAATTCGTTCGCCGCGGGTATCGTTCGATCGAAAGATCGTTCGGCTCTCCAAAAAAAAAAAAAAAAAAAAATAAGAGAAAAACGCTCGCGCTCGCGCGAGTTGTGTTCGCTCTTCCGACTTGTTCCATTCTTTTTTCGTGCGATGATCGCGCATCGTGCAAGAGATTTCTCCCCCGTCCTTGCACTTCTGTTGCCACTGATCCTTGTCGCGAACGGGCACGGATTCGGGAACGGGACCGTGATACCTGAAAACCAAGTTGACGTTAATCTGTCCAACGTTTCATCGTCTGTTATCAATCACAAGGAGGACAAGATGGAAGCTCGTTCCGACGGAGACTCGTCCATTAATAGAAGCGTTGAAAGAAAAAATGGCGGTCCTTTCAGTTACCGCAGGGACAGTTACCTGGAGGCTTTAAGGCATTCTCGCACCAGCACCGATCCCCGTGAGGGGATCGTCGACGTGGTTGGAACTGGATCAGGATCGTTCCATCGAAGGAAGGAGCAATCGTTGGGGCCGGTTTACACGAAACGTTCCGAGATACCCGCTTCCTCCTCCCGAATCGTTCACGTGGATCGGGACTCTTTCTCCATGGTGCCCAGCGACTCTTATTCCCTGCCTAGTCGCACGTCCGTCGATTTTAACGCAGTTAAAAATACTTACGGACCGCCCCAACCTTCTTACGGACCACCTTCTTACGGACCACCTTCCTACGGGCCTCCTTCATCCTCCAACGATTATTCTTCTTACGGGGAGTACGGGGCAAACGGAGGTGGTTACTCGCCGCACCAGCCACAGCAAGGTGAGACACGAGGTATCGTATTAGGCTCGGTTTTCACGTTCAAGTGGATAGAATAGTCTTCGTTCTTTTCGATTCTCCGGACGATGATCGAAAACGGCCGACCGTTCCAGCTTACGGAGCCCCGCACGGGATGTCCGAGTCGGTGCAGCTCTCCCTCCCGTCCATCGACTTCTCGTGGCCGTTCGCGCTCAAGTTGAACGCCTTCACCCTGGCCAAGATCCTTCTCAAGCTGGTCATCTTTAAGATGATCGTCAAGTTCATCGCTGTTATCTGCCTGTTGCTGTTCATTCCGAAACTCGAGATCAAGAAAGGTGACAAGGGGAATAATATGCAGAACGAAGACGATGAGGACGAAGGACGTCGATTTCTGAACGGTATTATTCTCTCGTGTAACTGTTTTTAGTTTTTTTTTTTTTTTTTTTTTAGATCTAATATGGCAATTTTTAATCTTTTCGATCGTTATGGTAATATGTTAAAGTGCTTATTAAAATTCTGAGGCGTAGCTGATTGCAAAGTTGCAGTTGGTGGTGTTTACGTCATCCTTTGGATTTGTAGTTCTTAATTAAATTCTCCAAGTTTTATAATAAAACTTGTAAAGAAATTTTTTTGAGTCGAGATACTGGTTGAGAAAGTATGTATTCTTAAGAATTATTTTCCGATGCAAAGTTGCAGAAGCCTTTGAATTTTTAATTAATGTTAATGTTTCTTAAGAATTATTTACTGATGCAAAGTTGCAGAAGCCTTTGAATTTTTAATTAAATCCTTAAAGGAATCTTTTTGACTTGAGATAGTAGTTGAGAAATTCTTATATGTATTCTTAAGAATTATTTACTGATGCAAAGTTGCAGAAGCCTTTGAATTTTTAATTAAATCTTTAAAGGAATCTTTTTGACTTGAGATAGTAGTTGAGAAATTCTTATATGTATTCTTAAGAATTATTTACTGATGCAAAGTTGCAGAAGCCTTTGAATTTTTAATTAAATCCTTAAAGGAATCTTTTTGACTTGAGATAGTAGTTGAGAAATTCTTATATGTATTCTTAAGAATTATTTACTGATGCAAAGTTGCAGAAGCCTTTGAATTTTTAATTAAATCTTTAAAGGAATCTTTTTGATTTGAGATAATAGTTGAGAAATTCTTATATGTATTCTTAAGAATTATTTACTGATGCAAAGTTGCAGAAGCCTTTGAATTTTTAATTAAATCCTTAAAGGAATCTTTTTGACTTGAGATAGTAGTTGAGAAATTCTTATATGTATTCTTAAGAATTATTTACTGATGCAAAGTTGCAGAAGCCTTTGAATTTTTAATTAAATCTTTAAAGGAATCTTTTTGATTTGAGATAATAGTTGAGAAATTCTTATATGTATTCTTAAGAATTATTTACTGATGCAAAGTTGCAGAAGCCTTTGAATTTTTAATTAAATCTTTAAAGGAATCTTTTTGATTTGAGATAGTAGTTGAGAAATTCTTATATGTATTCTTAAGAATTATTTTCTGATGCAAAGTTGCAGAAGCCTTTGAATTTTTAATTAAATCTTTAAAGGAATCTTTTTGATTTGAGATAATAGTTGAGAAATTCTTATATGTATTCTTAAGAATTATTTACTGATGCAAAGTTGCAGAAGCCTTTGAATTTTTAATTAAATCCTTAAAGGAATCTTTTTGACTCGAGATAATAGTTGAGAAATTCTTATGTGTATTCTTAAGAATTATTTTCTGATGCAAAGTTGCAGAAGCCTTTGAATTTTTAATTAAATCTTTAAAGGAATCTTTTTGATTTGAGATAATAGTTGAGAAATTCTTATATGTATTCTTAAGAATTATTTACTGATGCAAAGTTGCAGAAGCCTTTGAATTTTTAATTAAATCCTTAAAGGAATTTTTTTGACTTGAGATAGTAGTTGAGAAATTCTTATATCTATTCTTAAGAATTATTTATTGATGCAAAGTTGCAGAAGCCTTTGAATTTTTAATTAAATCTTTTTGACTTAAAGAAATCTTTTTGACTTGAGATGCTGAAAAATATGTATTCTTAAGAATTATTTTGATGCAAAGTTACAGTTCTTGGATTTTTTAATTAATTTCTTAAAGTTTTAAGCAGAATTTGTAAAGGAATATTTTTGAATCAAGATTGAAAAAATATATTCTTAAGAATATAATATAAAAATATATTCTATTAAAATATATTCTTAAGAATTACTTTCTGATACAGAGTTGCAAAAGTATCAGTTCTTGGATTTTTAAATTAATTTCTTAAAGTTTTAAGCAGAATTTGTAAAGGAATATTTTTGAATCAAGATTGAAAAAATATATATTCTTAAAAATTACTTTCTGATACAGAGTTGCAGAAGTATCAGTTCTTGGATTTTTAAATTAAATTCTTAAAGTTTTAAGTAGAATTTATAAGGAAATCTTTTAAACTCGAGATGCTAATTGCGAAAATGCATATTTTTGAGAATTATTTTTACACTTTTAGCAAACTCGATAGTGTGGGACAGATTGAATCGCTTAACCTTGGTTGTGCATGACGCGATGAAGCAATACGGAGTCAATATGGATAAACCACGATCGAGCTCAGATAAAGAATGCTCCTCGACGCTTCAGTGCCAAATACGAAGAGCCTTCGAGGAACACGATGAATCCTGGCCGGATTACGAACAACTGTTGCAGAACTATATCATGGAGGAAACTCGGCTCATACAAGAGAAGTCTTAACCTGAAATCGCAATTTCGTTTCTGGAAAAATATTTTTTCTCGATCCGATCATGAATTCGGTCGTCGATCGATTCTTAAGGATCCTACAGATCAACTCGAGATATTAGCAATGGTAATGAATTCATTTCACTATGAATATTATAAAAATTCCTAGGCACATTTGTTGTGTGCATCCTCTCTCGTAAGAAAATTTATCACAACAAAAATTTTAATTCCATTCCTCAATTTTTAATAACGATTAATTTCTCGTTTAATTTCTCGTTTAAACGATCCATTCGTTAATTAATATTCTCGACCAACAGCTTGGATTCTCTGCGAATATTTCTCGTTGATCTTTTTACGGGATCCTTTATCGCGTATTTATCCGTTACCTAGGTAAACAATAATATTTACAATGTACACGCTTGCCGTCCAAATAAAGACGTTTAGCCGTCCAATACACAAAGCGTGCCTTTCGCTTCTTTCCACTTTGCGTTTCGTTCCATTTCCAACGAAATCGCAACACTTATTATTATTAATTCCGCTTGGCGAAGAGAGCGGAGGCGCGACCAATTTCGAAGATTGCCGCTACGTGATCCTCTGTTATTATTCTCGAGTTTTCCGGACCGGAGGACACGGTGGGGATGTGTTGTGTTCGTTTATAAACGGTGCTGCTACAGCCGGCAATGTTTCAGTCGTTTTTTGCCTCGACGGGTGAGTATAGTTTCGCCTTCGTCGTTCTCTGTCCCGCGCGCAGCAGCCTGCTCGCTTCCTTTCACCTGTGTGAATCATGAAGTCGATCGTTTTACTAGGTAAGTAAACAGAATCGAAAGAAGAAACGTATACATACGTATGTATATATATACATATATATATATATATATACATACGCGCTGTTATTTTTCGTGCCGCGTGACATTCGTCGGTGACTAAGCCCGGCGAGCAAAAAAGGAAGTCGATCACGTTTTAACGAGGAACGAATTAAGGTCTTTCGAGAAGGCGCGTGACTTTGACTACGCGGTGGAGGAAAAGGAAGTCGATCACGTTTGTTAACGAGGATCGAATTAAGGTCACGCGTGAAAACGTGTCGCGACAATTTTTGCTCCTTCGTTTTCCTCGATCAATTACCGAGGAGGAGGGGGGAAGAGAGAGAGAGAGAGAGAGAACACGTGCCATGCACAGGATGTGTAATGTACAATTCGTGGCGCATCTTTGGAGGGTCGATTCCAAATGTCGAAACGAATACGAAAAAAGATTTTGATACAAAAGGACGCGACCTATTTATCGAGTTACGGCCAATTCAATTCGTATTCACTCTGTCTCCTCTTTATCTGAATATATATATATATATATATATATACATAAACTTAAATCGTTCCATTTGAAAGTGACACGACGAAGATGAAGTTTAATTCCCCTTTTGAAATTCTTCGAAAACGTGGCACTGTTTCCTGCTTTTCCTCCTTCTTCAATTGAATAATCGCACGTACATCTCCGCGGCTATCTCCACTCAGCGTTGGTCGTCGCGTGCGCCCTCGCGTTCGCCGAGACGGCGAGCACCTCTCCGTCTTCGACGAAACCGGTCAAAGAGCCCAAGGAGATCAAGGAGGCCGCGACCGCTTCGAAGGACGTGAAGGCCGCCAAAGAGGCGGCGAAGAAGAAGAAGGACTGCGCCCGTGAATGCGGCACGGCTTACGATCCGATTTGCGCCCACGATCCGAACGACGCCACCTCTAAGCCGAGAACGTTCGGCACCGAGTGCGCTCTCAACGCTCACAACTGCGAGATGGGGACAAGTGAGTGTGCGAGTTACCTCGTGCCCGTTCGACAGAAACGTATATTTTCGTTGTATTTTCCTTTCTTAAACCTTTTTTTTTTTTTACAGAATTGGTGGTGAAGAGCAAGGGCGAGTGTCCAGGATCGGGTGGCGTGAGGCTCTCTTGAACGGCAACGAAGGATCTCACCTCACCTCGCATCACACGTACGGCAGCTTCTTCATGATCGAGGAAAAACAATGCTTAAGCAATCTTATGTAACGACGGGCTTGTGATTTTTTTTTTTAGCTTTAGATTTTAGCGAGTGTGAAAATAAAAGAAATGAAGAGAAGTCGCGCGATTGATTCACTCGATAGGTAATCTTTTCGACTTTTCTTCGACATTCTTCGTAATCTTTTACTTGAACAGGATTTTTCTTAACCAAAATGACCCTGAAAAAATACAAAAAAAAGAATTATCATAAATTGAACAAATGAGAATTTGTTGTAACGAAATAACGAAAATAAATACCATTAAAATTCGGTGTGAAGAGATAATACGCATCGAGGTACGGTTCGTGATTTTTTTTTTTTTTTTTAAGAGAGAACGTTGATTCAAGTTTTTAAGAGAAGCATCATGGGGGTCGGGTAAACAGCGATTACGATAAGTGGTAGATGGACGATTACACGGCCGCGTCAGCTCGTGGATGCTCGTCCATTGTTTGTCAATCTCGTAGCGTTACGCCAAAAGCTGCAACTATGAATTAACGAGCACATAGACCGGAAGACCGTGCGAGGAATGAGGCGAAATATAAAGAGAGAAGGGCGAGAAGAACGATCAAACGATCGCGCGAGAGAGACTCGCTCTTGGAGACTCTCGAGAGATGGAATCGTCGTGTCCTTCGAGGAAGAAAAGAATATTCTTTCCATGCGAAAGAATGAGTCGCCTCTCGCGTTCGATCGTTCGTACGTTCCTCGTGTTTACGACCATCGTTTTCATTACGTCACTCGAAGCTAAACCCCGATCCGAGGCGTCTCGCGATTGCGCGAATCCCGGGTCGAGTTTCGAGCAATCGGTGGCAATGGGTGTAAGGTCGGAACCGATAACGAAAGGAGAGAACGTTTCGATTGCGACGAACAGTAACGTCGTCATGGCTACGATTCTCGAGGAGTTCGAGAGCCGTTTATCTCGTCTGGAAAGAAGACTCAGAGCGATCGAGCAACCCGGTAAGCGTGGCCATTTTTTTTTTTTTTTTTTTTTTTATCTCCTCTCATCGACCAGTTCTTCTTTCTTGAATCGTTGAATCAGCGACGGGAATGTCATGCGAATGGTTCACAGTTTGGCAGATGAGCTCAGCCGAGGGAGACTGGGAGATTTGCGCTGAAGGGCCGTGTAGATGTCAACCGGAAATAAAATTGGTGTCTTGTTGGAGACAGGATCTGTTGGATCTTCCTGCGGCGCAGCTAGTTCCTCGGGACGTGTTGAAATTGTAAGCCCTCCTTCCATCCTTCCCTCTCCTCCTTGTTCTTCCTTCTTTTCGCTAACGATTCTCGAAAAGAAAACAAAAAGGAAAAGAATCTGATTAGAATCGAGAGAAACCGTTGCTTTCAGGGATTTGGCTGGTAATCGACTGACAACGCTTCACAGGGATACCTTTTTGGACATGACACGGTTGAATCATCTGTGAGTAAAAAAAAAAAAAAAAAAAAAGGAATCGCAGAGCCGGTTTTACGGTTTCGCAACGTAGCGCTCAAGAGAATTTCTTGATGATCGTTCGTTTCAGAGATCTAAGCGACAACTCGATAGAGCATCTTCCGTTAAACTTGTTTTTCTCGTTGCACGCTGTTACGCGCATCAGATTGAGCAAAAATTTACTCGGAGAATTGCATCGATCTCAATTCTTCAACACACGAAATCTTCGTATTCTGTGAGTGATCAAATCGATCTTTTTTTGATTAGTCGATAAAAAACAAACGAGTCGAGAAAGAATCGAGAAAATTCATTTGATCATATCTATTGTTTTTTTTCTTTCTTTCTTTTGATTTCTGTTTTTTTTTTTTTTTTTTTTTTTTTTACCTTTTTCTAATTAATTAAATGTATCTTCTCCTTGGCTCCTGATGCGATGCAGAGATGCGTCTTCCAATAAGTTGCGAAATCTACCAGAGAGCCTCTTCTTGAGCACAACGTTGCTAGTATTGCTCGATCTTTCCTGTAATCGAATATCGAGCTTTTTACCGGGAGTATTCCACGGGTTGACCATGCTGGAAGAGCTATTGCTTGGAAAAAATCGACTGTCGGTTCTACCTGTCGACCTGTTTAAAGACTTGACAAATCTCAAATATCTTGGTTTGGAGGAAAATCGACTGAGGGAATTACCCGATGAATTATTTCGGATGCAAACGTCACTTCGCGAGTTGAACTTCAGAAGTAATCAATTGTCGGAGATATCTGCGAGATTACTGGCGCCTCTCGAACAACTAAACTCTCTTGAAATGTCCAATAACAAGATAGCTCGAGTAAATATCGGATACGTGCGTAATGTGTACGAAAAATTCATAGAATATTTTTTGTTTTCTTTATATTAAGAACATTGCAGTAATTTTATCTTAGATTAATTAGTATACAAATTTTATGATCATATCAATTATAGTTTACGTGTAATAATTAAGTTTGAGTGGTCGTTTAATTCTTAACTGTAATTAGTTGTCATTTTTTGGAAGAACAATGAATTAAAATAATTATTAAATTAGAAAAAAATCAAAAAAGTTCTTTTAAATTGATATTAATTTCCAAAAAATCGTGAAATTTTGTATCTTATTTTAGTATAGTGGGATTATATATCGCATTAGAAACATAACCTGCGAAATCATTGCAGCAGGATCAAAATGGCGTACATTCGCATCTAATCGTGTGGGCCTAATAATAGAAAACAATTATTATTTGCAAGGTTCAGTAAAAATTATTATAATATTGCCAATATTGGAAAACAGAAAAACATTCTACATAATTTTCCGTCCACATCTCTTATTCATACATATGTATACCGTTCATTGATCTTTTCGCTTTTTTCTTTTCGTTCGTTGATACATACGTATCGCATTACATCATAGATCAATCCGACTGCGTTTCAAGGTTTGATAGCGTTGAAGGAACTTCAACTGGGACACAATCGTTTAAGAAACTTGACGCCTGGACTGTTTTCAATGTCTGCCAGTTTGGAAAGACTGGTATTATACGCAAATGGAATAGAGAATTTATTGCGCGGCACGTTCCAAGGCTTATCTAATTTGACATCTCTTTTTCTACACTCGAATCACTTGAGAATTATGCATCCCGAACTATTCCAAGATACACCGAATCTGCGAAAACTGTGAGTAAGATTAAACAATCGGTAAGTGAAATAATTAATAATCAGGAAAATGGAATAATTAATAATTGTCAGCAGGCAGCTAGAATCGAATTATTTGTCGTCATTGCCGCCTCGAATTTTAGACGCCGTAGAATTAATCGAACAACTTCGTCTCGCTAGAAACCCATGGCACTGCGATTGTGCTGCCTCCTATCTAGCTACATGGTTGCAAAGAATGTACCTAACGCGGGTAAACGACACAAACTCGTCCGAGAATTTGGGCATTTGGGAATTTGGTGCAGGAGCGGTTTGTAGAGGTCCCGGTACTCTCGGTGGCAGACTGTTGCTTCGTTTAACGTTTCACGAACTCTGTGAAGGACAATGGGCTTCAATGAAGGGTTTGGTTCCTCGACTTCCGATAGATCTCATCAGTGGTCGAAACGTCGTTTCTACTGATAATCCTTTCTCGCGAAACGAGTCCGTCTTAACGCCTAACCTCTCTCGTTCCACCATTCCTTCACAAAGATAACGTCTCGATATATTTTTTTTCCATATATTCGTCGTTATCAGAAATTAAACTTTTGTATTCGAGTTTAATATAGGAATAATCTCTTCTCATCTCCTTAGTATTTTTTTTTTATTTTTGTTATCATAACACTTGTTACTCCTATATACTTGTGTACTCTATCGTACGATTTTATCGACCGTATCTCGTATTGCATTTCTACGACTCATCGACCCATTTGACCGTATTCGTCTGACTGATTGCGCGACGCGAAAATTTCCGGTCGATATCTCGTCTATCACAAATACGCGGTCAACATTGGTATCGCGTGTTGTGCTTGCAATGATTTCGATCTTCCGCGTCCAGCAAGTGGCTGATCAAATAAACAACAACGAATGGAAGAACGAAAATTAAAGCGTGGGGGAATGGCGTTGTCTCGATATCGTTGATCTAACCAAGAGTAAGGATTTAGTTTACGACACGCAATGGACGCTTCGTCATCTACGAAGGCAACGATCGAGCTGTTCAAACAACTGCTCGAAATTCTCGAGGAAGAAAATGCGTTCGATCGTACGGGCAACGAACCACTCGTACGATTTGTTCATCCGGATGAATTGCAAGTGAGTTATGATTTAATTCCATACTTTATTCGTTCATTTCGAACATTTATTCATTACTTTTCGTTTTGCAGGAACGATTACCAATTAAACTGACCGAGGAACCAGCTGATAAAAATGAAATCGAAAATGCGATCCGACAAACGATTCGATATTCCGTCAAAACGTACAGTCCACACTTTCATAATCAACTTTACGCTGGCGTTGACGAATATGGCCTAGTTGGATCTTGGTTGACGGATATGTTGAATACAAGCCAGTAAGTTTTCTTTAATATGCTTTTTCTTTATAAAAAAGAGAAGAAACGATACAATACACATTTAATTCATATCGTTAGATACACGTATGAGGTAGCTCCTGTATTTACTTTGATGGAACGACAAGTGATAGAAAAAACTTTGGAATTGATCGGATATCCGTCCATGCCGGACGGAGATGGAATTCTTTGTCCTGGCGGTAGTATCTCTAACATGTATGGTATGGTGCTAGCTAGATATAAAATGATTCCGGATGTCAAGAAGAAGGGTCTCGCGGGACTTCCACCGCTCGTTTGTTTTACCAGCGAGGCTGGCCATTATTCAATCTCGAAAGGAGCTCATTGGTTAGGTTTAGGAACTGATCATGTTTACAAGGTAAAAAGAGCATTAATTTTTATCAACATTTGTTTTGCATTTTCATCTGTTAATAAAAGTTATTCGCATAGATAAAGTGCGACGAATTGGGACGTATGCGACCGGACGAATTGAAAGCTGCCATAGCGGAAGCCAGAAGACAAGGTCACTTACCATTCTTCGTGAATGCCACCTGCGGCACTACAGTTCTCGGATCTTTTGATCCATTGCCGGATATCGCAGCTATCTGTCGTGAGGAAAATTTATGGTTACATGTTGACGTTCGTACAAATATGATAATATAAAGACAATAAAAGATTTTCAATTATAATTCGATTTTCTTCATTATAGGCATGTCTCGGTGGCACGTTATTGTTTTCGGAAAAATATCGAAATAGATTAAAAGGAATCGAACTGTAAGTAGTAATTTTATTTTTTAGATTCATTATTTTAAATCTTCATATATTTTAATAATTAGATTTTTTGATGTAGATCCAACTCCGTGGCGTGGAATCCCCACAAGACACTTGGTGCTCCATTGCAATGCTCATTGTTTCTGGTCAAAGGTAAAAACATTTTACACGAGACAAATTGCGCGGGAGCAAAGTATCTGTTTCAACAAGACAAACATTATGATGTATCTTGGGACACGGGTGACAAAAGTTTGCAATGTGGAAGAAAGGTGATGATTTTATGAAGTTAGTTAGATAATTTAAAGCAAAGGTTTTCGTTTTCTCGATAGGACAACAATCCTTTTTGTTGTAGGTCGATGGAGCCAAGTTTTGGTTGATGTGGAAAGCACGTGGGACCAAAGGGCTTCGCGAATCCGTGGAACTTGCTATATCAGCTGTTGAATACTTTATCGATCGAATTCGAAATCGCAGCGGATTTCGCTTGGTACTTCCTCAATACGAAGGTTGTAACGTTTGTTTTTGGTAAGTTATTTTTTCTTGTACATCGATACAAGTGTTCTATTGCTTCATGTAACTACAATTGCTCTTTGTTTCGGTTCGTAATAGGTATATACCACCGAGCATGCGAGATCAACCAGAAACTGAAGAATGGTGGGATAAATTATACGAGATTGCACCTAAAATTAAGGAACGTATGATGATGAATGGAACGCTAATGATCGGATATATGCCACTGTCCTTTAAAAAACTTGGAAACTTTTTCCGTATGGTGATCAACTGTCAACCACCACCGAGTAAAGCTTCAATGGATTACGTAATCAACAAGATCGAAGAATTGGCCATTGATTTGTAAACATTAATTTGGATTAATGTCTACGCGCTCTCACCGAGTAAATAAGAAAGAAAGATCAGGAGAAAATGAATTCGCCCGGGTGATTTATTATTGCGAGCTCATCTCGTTCCTTTTATTATAATCGCGTGATACTATGCCACGGCATGAAGCGTTTATAAAATTCGTCGACTCGAAATAATTCGAATCAAATTCCCGGCTAAATCGAGTCTTAAAAGCTTGGTCATTTTTTACGCCGAATCGCGACGCGCATATAAACATTTTTATCTTCCTACTCTCTTTCATTTTCGATTATACTTCTTTTCACGCATAACTTGACACATAACCGCGACTCAATGTGAGCCAATAATAAAAAATGCGCAAATCACACGCTCTATATTTGCATGAATGCACATACGCACATTATGAATTCGTTCACACATCTCTCATTCATATCTTAATCGCATTTAAATGCACACACATGTGATAGGTACAATTCGATACGTTACACGCCCGTTCTTTATCGTTCGTCTTTAACGATATTGTGAAATGATGCAAGCGTTCGTCGTAACGATGGCACTGAATCATATGACGCGAAACCAGACGTGTTCGTGTCTGTCACAAAATAAAACTGTATACAGGATAAATATCACTTGATTTCAAGTAAAGGCGATTCGTTTAAGTGCATTGCGCCTTTGTCCCTGGTCCGTTTGGATTTTAGTCTTCGGTTAAATTGATATTCAAGCACGCGCGATCGCCAAATAGATAATCATTTGTTATTTAAAAAGCGCTGTGCTTGCTTCACGCCTTCATGGCGATATTTGTTCATAGATATTAATCTCGCGTGTAGTTTAGTCGAAACGCGAAAAATGATTAGATGACGAAATAAATTTATACATTTCTTCATGCGTATTGCACATTGATCGGCGTTCAATAGTACTTGTCTTGATCCGGATCGACTCGAATATGTTGCTGCCCATGACTGTTGCGCTTCAATGTAGCAGACTCGTAATCAAGACTCTTTGGATATAATTTAGGACTTCCAAGAGTATTCACATTTGGATTATTCTTTCCACGAAGAGTTCCGTTACCGTTTGTACTACCAGAGAAACTAGGTTGTCGCTTGGTGTTTACCTATGTCAAGCAGAGATCTCGTTTTATTCCAAAACGTATGTATTATTCGCATTGTCATTATTCGCGAATAAATGATAACTTTACCTCCTTCATAGGAACCGTAACGTAGGAATTTTGTTTGCTGATATAATGAGGGCTGCCTGGAATTCGTTGCTGTCGCCGCTTCATATAGTAGAAGCTTAGAATTGCGGTCACGGCCAAGCCAACTAGGAAACCGACCACGCAACTGCCCACCACAGCGCCGATCGTTATGCCTGAACGTTCCATCGACCATAAAGCGTTCACTTCTGAAAAATTAATGTACAAATGTAGCATAAATTCTATACGAGATTCTATATCAAAAATTCTACGGTGGACAATGAAAACAAGGAAAGAGGAAATCGTATTGAATCTCATTCCTGCGCTCACCATTGCCCGAGCAATCTGGTAAACAGTCGCGTGTTTCTCTGCTGGCTCCTTGACACATTCCACTGCCGTGTTGAAGGCATTGTCTCTTTCTATACTGTTGATGATCGTTGTCGCAAGGTGTCCAACGCGACCACGTGTCCCAACCGATCAACGATTCGCAACTGGCCATCTCGCAAGTCTCCCTTACCAAACTCGATCCTTCGCAGCTCTCCGGCCCCAGGCATTCTCTCGTTCTCGAGCGTATCCCGACGCCACACGAAACCGAGCACTCGGACCAGTCAGTCCAGCAGGACCACTGCCCTTCCATCGCAATGTCCCCGACTGCGCTCGGTCGGCACGAATGCACGTTGCATTGTCTGGTCTGCACGGATAAACCCTCGCATGGCGGTGATTCGCATTGCCTGACCCTGTGCTGAGAACCTCCGCCGCAGAGGCGATCGCAAGTCTTCCAAGCGGACCATTCGCCCCATCCGGCCTCTATCGCGAGATCAGTGTACGATTTCTGATTCGCGTTTCTCCTCATACAGGAGCCGTCGTTTCTACAATAGCGTTCCTCCTCTTTGGCCAGTTGAACCCTCACGCTGGACGGGTCATCCGTTTGCGCGCGGCAACTGAATCGAAACCGTTTCTCCACGTAACCCATGCTCGAACTCTGAAAGCTGCCGTTGGCAGCCAGCCACGGTGTCCAACCGGAATATCTTTTCGTCTCGATGCATGGATGAGTGTTGCATTCCTCGGTCTACGATAAAAAATAAATAAATACGTCGTTCAAGAATTCTCACTTATTCGAGAAGACGAACGTATTACCTGCGTGTCGCATCCGTTGCACTCGACTGTGGTAGACTTTCGTGGCGAAGGATTCTCGCACGTTCTCCTTCGTATTCGTATTCCTGCGGAACACACGATCGAAGATGGATTATTATAAGGCGCGTAAGGGGAGGAGGAAAACCACCGTGTCCCGCTTACCGCCGTTGCAGGGCCTGGAGCAAGCGTTCCAACCACCCCAAGGGGACCACTGGCCGAACGATTCGGGTGGCGGTGCCTCGTCTTTCGCCGGACATGGAGGAAGGTCTATGCAGATATTGTCGTCGTGGTCGTGTCCCACGCAGACTCGGCCGCCGAAAGCCGGGGCTGGATTCGTGCACGTGCGTCGTCGCGTTTTCATCGCGAACCCACAGGTTTGCGAGCACGCCGACCAGGCCGACCAGGCTGTCCACTCGCCGTGAACCGTGCAGTTGGTCACTCTGACTCTCGCTCCTGTGCAAGACGCTCCACCATGCTGAGGAGGCGGATTGTTGCAATCCCGGGTCTGGCACTGACAGATATCCGCGGGCTGACGAGAAATATGAAACGTGAATGGAATGTCTGTGTATTTGCGCGAATCGAGCTTAACTTGAGGATCTCTCGACTCACCGCTTCGGCATGCTCGGAATGAAGATGGGAATGGGAGTGCGAGTGCGAGTGTTCCGCGGTGCCGTGTTGACAGGGAGACCACGAGCTCCAGGCACTCCAACCACCGTCCACGGGGTCCGTGAGTACAGGGCACTTGGTCACCTCCTGGTGCCAATGATTGGCGAGATGATTTTGCTTCGGGGCTGGTGCGCATTTCATCAGATGCTCGTTCCAACCGCAATACGGTTCTTGGGCGTTCAGGCAGGATTGGCGAGTTCTGTGTCGATGACACTGGGCAGCTGGTATTCTACGGAAATTACGAGAAGATTGGATTCTGGTTCAAATGATTCATGTACAGATTCGTTGTACAGGCAACGTACCTCAACAAACCGAATTCTGTACCGACGTACAAACTTTGCGTATCTTTTAAGAATTGCAAGGTGATCGGCGTGGAGGGTAGAGGACCCCACACCTCGACGATGCAGGTTTCTTGCGTTCGGGGTAAAACCGAGATTTTCTTGAGCAAGCCAACATCGGTGGCGACGTAGAGTACGGTGACGCTGCGGTGCAGCTTGGTCGGCGTCACGTCGAGGGCGATCAACGTGAATCTCTCGAGCAGAGCGGTGTGCAAGGGCTCGAGGGTGGTGCTTTGAACCGCATCGTCCATCAATTGGTACCTTTGGTTATCTATGATCTGATGAGGGGCGACGTTCGCGAACGAGCCGCACCGTTGTCGATTGTGATGAGAGACCGGCCTCCTCTCCCACGCAGCGCCAGAATTCTCTTGATGTTTGAAGGGTCCGTTGAAGCTTGCGGTGATCGCGGACATGTTGAACGCGCATATGGCCGAGCCGGCAATACCGTTGCTAAAAATAAACGGGAACTTTAGCGATTCTCGAGGCCTTCCTTCTCTTCGCGTCGTGCACGAGAGAGGCAAAGAAAAGCAGGGAAAAAAAAAAAAAAGATAACGGCACTGATTTAGGAATTTCTGCGACTATACATACCGAATCTCTTATTTTTCTTCTTTTTCCTTCACGAGTGAAGCGTTAGATGGAAATATATGGTGAACGTGAAAAACGGTACGATACGATGCATAGATATTACTTACATGGGCGTGGTAAACGTCGCATAAACGATTTTTTCCTCGGGATGATAAACCGCGCCTTGAATTTCGTCGTAGTAGAAAGGAAATTCGCCTGGAAGGGAACAGTTCAATCGTGCCTTGCTGAACGTGGTCCATACCTCTCTCATCATTATTTGTCCACCGCGATCGTTCTTGCACACTCTTGCTATCCTCGAATAAATTTTCTAAAAGAGACCATCTTTTTTTAATATCAAACGTACGCACGTATGAGAGAATATAATGGCCGAACTCGCTTGATCACCTTGCCGCAATTGATGTACTCGACGGCTGATTCGCGAAACAGAAAGTACACGTGGTCCTCGGTTTCGAAACTGCCGACGAACTGAGGATCGTTCAGCCATCTGAAGTCAATCGTGGAATACACGCACGTGGAATATCGAAGTCGATAGAAATACATTGGAAAGAGAATAAAACTCACCTGGAATCGTACTGATGCGTTCTGAGATTTGGCGAAGCAAGAGTTCTGCAAATGGCTGGATCAGAGCCAGAGAAGTCAGTAGGCGCCCCGGTGAAGAGTCCACCGGTTGGACCTCTTGCCAATAAAGCGGTGACATTCGCGTGTGGCGAATAGGGACTCATCGCAACACCCGACATCTCGCTCGTCACGCTACTGATGTTTTCAATCTAGAAAATATTAACTCGAAGTGACATCTACTGTCGATAATACGTTCGAGAATTCTTCCATCTCTCGCTCTCTGATTCGCTCACCTCTCTCCACGTGCACCAAGGGCTGAACGCGTACGTGCCGCAAGTGAACAGACTTTTTCCATTGGTAAGCAACACCTTGACATAATTGCGACAATCTTCCACGCTCTGCCCCTTGTTCTGGCAGGTATTGGTCTTGTTTTCGGGCGCTGGCCACGAGGCGTGTTCGAGAGGCGACAACGACGTTAGAGTCAACCGGTACAGATTATCTCTGGAATCGGAATCGTTTACTGCTTTTCGTGTTTACACGCGTGGGACGGAGGACATGTGGAAAATGGCGCGCGCCGCCTTTCGAGCTGTCGCGCAATCACGCCGCAGGAAACTAGCATAAACGGCGCCTACGTGGGCGCTACGCCGCGACGAGAACCGACCTGACCAAAAGTGATCGTTAGTCGAGCGAAGCGGCTCCAGCTCGGTCGTCGAGTATGTACGTCGGACGTGTGCCGACATGCTAAAATTTTGAGAAAGGACGCGAGGCGAAAGTACAGAGCAGAGCATTAACCCGTTGCAAAAGTAACTAGTTAAGATAAAGTTATTTTGAGTCAGAGATTTTGTAATAGTTGAAGTTGAGAATAAAGTTATTGTTCGAAGCATAATCGTATAACCGCGGATCAACTATTATAGCTACGAATAAATGTTATTCAAGCATTTTAAATAGTGTTACTTAAGTAATTATTTAAAGTAACTATTTTTAAATTTTTGGCTAGTTACTTTTTTAACGGGCCAATGCGCAACTTTGAATCTCAGCCAACTTTAAAACTATAGTTATCTACGATTATTCGATGCTTTAAATGATAAATTATTGAGATAATTTATCGAAGTAATTTATTCTTAACTTTAAAAATTAAAATTTTGCATATTTCTGATTTCAGAGACGTGTGCACATGTAACGAGTATCGCTTAGAATCGTACACATTTAACGAATAGAGTGATATATTCTTAAAGATGAAAATTCTTCGCAATATAATCTTTAAGCAATATTCAAGTTTGGTACGTTTAAGGAAACTCCTAATCTTATTGCTTTCTTATTATTAAAAACTACGCGTTTTCGTTCAAGTTTTAATCGTTTTGTAAAATTTTCACGTGTTATAAAAACGAATCTCTACACGTATGATTTTAAGTGGCATACACTGTATGTACGAGCAATCCTATTGAGACAGATTGTTTCCTGTTCGTTAAACGAATAGGATGGATCATTTGCCAACCTCGTTCTCGTCCGACGTAACTTCTGGGCACGACTCGCGTTTGTTCAACGTCTAATGGAGTTCGATGGCCGCGCGCATACACAGAATGAAATTGCGACTCAACTCGAAATGGGTCGATTTTTAACCGATCACATGTAATCGTTTAAGGGTTCAGGCTCGATAGAATACAGCATCCTATTCCCTTCCATTGCCTTTCTACGATTCGATACATTTTTCGATGTAATTCAATTGCGAAAATTGTAAAAAATATTCGAATCGATCGAAACACGAACCTGTTAACTTACACAACGGAAGTGCAACAGGATCGCAACGGTGTCGCGTCACTCGTGCGCATCTATCCCTTAGAGTGATCTCCAATCTATGTCGCTATTCATTTTTTAATTCATTCTACATATTTATGTTTTATAAGGATATTAAACCTCTCAACTCGAAGATTGTCCTAATTTTTTCTCCAAGCTTTCTTGCTTTCACGTACGTGTAAAAAAGATACGCGATTGCAGCTAATTTGAATATCGCGAGATAAAAAAAAAAAGGAACACGAGTCTGTACGAGCCAATACCGCGGAATTCGAATCTTGTACAACGGAACTATCATAGGATCGCAAGGTATCTCCCATGTGCATCAGTGGTTTCCAACCGATGGTTTTTAATTTTTTATTTCAACGTAATTTTACAACGAATCGATCCCCTCGCTCAACTTAACTCAAAGACAACTGCCGCTTAACACTGCCTGTTGTGATCCTGTTACTTTTCTAACCTTTCTTTGCTTCGTGTAACGAGATATACGATTGCGAATTAATTTGAATATCGCAAGAAAAAAAAAGGAGGGGAGAAAAAAAGAAGAAGAAGAATTTAAGAGAACACATCGAATTTACTTCGAAAGTAAAGAGCTTAAAGAGCAAAGTTGGATCCTAGGAAAGAAAACGACCAAGGAGTTGTTACGCAACGAGGCAAGGAAAGCGCGTCTCGCTCCCATATATACCTGTCGCGGTGCGATACGCTCTCGATAAGGTAGTATTCGGTGACGTCACGGTTGTCGAGCACGCGAATCAAACTGGAAGAATGCAAATCGTGGCGCCGTGTCGCGTGCACGCGGCTAGTCCCTTTCCCTTCCTCCCCTCCGCCTCTCCAATTCCAATCACGATATATCATTTTCCGCGTCGACGTCGACACGTTTCCCTTTTTCCATTTTCCATTTTTTTTTCTCGATCGACGAAAAGAATTTCCCGCATACGTGGGAAACCTTCTCTTCCATCCATCCGTCCACGTTTCTCTGTACAACGGGAGTGCAAAACGCTTCTCGTTTTTCTCGCGAAAAACGAGGTTGGAATCTCTTTTTTTTTCCCCCCCCCCCTTCCCCTCCCATCGAAGAAACGAGGCAGCGTACGCGGCGTTCCTCCTAGTTGGCCGGGCGTACGTGGGTCGTGGTTAATAACCAACGTGTTCTATTAATAGAAGGTAACACGAGGGCGTACGCTCCTTTCCACGGCTCGATCCGATCGCGCGTTCTTTTAATCGCGAAAAATCGATCGAGCGCCCGGCCCCAGCGTTCCTCCACGATTTCGAGCAGCCGATCGAGCGGACGGAATGCAACCCGCTCGTTCCCGTCATCCGTCTCGTTACACGCTACTACTTTTATCGCACGGGAGTGTAAACAACGGGTGCATTCCACCCGTCCGGGATCGAAAAATCGATCGAACTTATTTAACAGAACAGGTCGAGGGAAACGTGCTATTCTCGTCGTGCTGTTGTTACGTACATATATTACTTGGCTATAAATATAACAATAATTCGCACTCCAAGATAATTAATTTTCGATCGATCCTTTCGATCGAAGACGAAGAAATAATTTAAATAGAAGAAACAGCGGTAAAATTTGACTTTTTTTTTATCTCGAAGTTTCTGTCAAATTTTGTTGCATAAGAAAAAAAAAAAAAAAAGGAAAGTAACTGATTTTAATTGTTGGTTGGTTTATACGTACCGAGCGCCGACGACGACCTGTTGTCTAGCCACGTCGAACAGCAATTGGGAATACGACGTGACTCCCTCTTGCTGAAACAGGCTGGTGTTCGCCAAATCTGAAACAATGGATGAAGAGAGAGGGGGGTGAATTTAGAGATATCTTCGATAACGAGATATTCGTTAAGGAGTCGAATTTCGAGGAATTTCATTCGAGATTGTTCTTGCCCTTTTTTCTTCTCGTTGTGTGTCGCGATTTCCACGTTCCGAGAAGAGGAGGATGTAAAGAGGAGCCGTTTTTCGCTTCCGGACAAACTAGTTTAGCAAGCTGGCCGCTTCGAGAAGTTGAATCGTTTCTTCTTCCTAGGATCTTCTACTTTTTCTCGCGTTCTTGGTGGGACGCGGGACGTGGATCGTAGATCATCGATCTTGAGAGAAAAATATGGCAGTTGTGAAAAGCCGTGGTCGTTCGTCCCTTTACTCGCCCCGCATTCCTCGATCCGATTCGCGGAACTCGGGAGCAGGGATCATCGATTATACATCGGCAAAGTTGAATAAACTTTTACTTTTTCTTCGATTAATTAAGAGGATCGATTTAAAAATGGAAGAATTCGAAGAATCATTTGAAATCAAGCTACGTATCATCCCTGAAAAAATTTAACGTCCATCATTTTTCTTCGATCTGCTGATATTCTGCTGGACGAAACTCAATCATGGATCATTATATTATATACATTTAAATATCCAATAATAATTGGCTCGATCCTTTTTTCTTTTGAAAGATCCAAGCAAAAATGGATCGTGTATCATTTTTCAATTTTTTTTTTTAAATATTTTTTGAAAAATCCAAGCAAGGATGGATCGTGTACCATTTTCTAATTTTTTTTTTAAATATTTTTTGAAAGATCCAAACAAGGATCATTCATCGTGCACCATCATTTTTCAATTTTCTTTTCAGCATTTTTTAAAGGATCCAAACAAAGATCGATATCATTTTTTAACTTTCTTCTTAATATTTTTATTAAAAGATTCAAGAAAAGATCATCAATAAATCAAAAAATCCGACAATAACAAAAATTTGGCTCTTCCACTTTCTTTCCATCATCTTTTGAAAGATCTAGAGAATCATTTCTCAACTTTCTTCTAAGCATTTTTTTGAAAGATTCAAGAAAAAGTGATCTGTAACATTGTAACATGTAAATTTGGCTCGAATCGTTGTTCCACTTTCTTCGCATCTTTTACCCCCGAGACCGAAGAAAAGACCGAAGCAGGGATCGTGTATCGAAAAATAATGGAGAATCGCGAAAATTCTACTTTCATCGTGTCAGCATCGGGCAAAAAGAGGCGCGTACGCGCGCGCGAGTTTCACCCGTTTTACCTCGCTCTCTCTTTCCTGTTCCCCGTTTACTTCTGCTAATCCTCGTCTTCGTCTTATTGTTTTTCAGCCGGTTTGCCGACGCAGCGAAACGATTCCGCAAAGGTAGCCCTCCGCGCCTCCGGTTCGTCGTACCTCTCGCGTTTCCACGTATCCAGCCACGCGTTTGCCTGTGTCGCGCGTGCCTGCCACTCACACGACCGCGTCGCGCTCGTACGTGTAACTGCGTACGTGCGCTTATAAGTAGATACGTGTGGGACGAACGGGCCCCAGTTAGCATAACCTGATCTCGAAGGCCTCTCTCGGGTATCCTCCCTTCACTCTCTTGCCTTTTCTTTTTCCTTCCCTTTTCCTCTCTCTCCTTTTCCTGCATCGATCGATGTAGCACCTCTTCTACTCTTTCCTCCTCTCTTTCTCTTTCTTTCTCTTTCTTTCTTACTTCCCGTTTATCCGTATACACACATATGTGTGTGTATCTCCCTAAGGGAGAGATGGGGACGAGCAAAAAACGAATGGACAATAATAGTAAAACGAAACGTTACGACGTAGGAGGACGTTTAGAGGACGCCACGGATGCGTAATTTCGCGACCTCGTGCGGGAGAAAGGAAAAACTAAGATCCGTATTCTAATTAAGGTTAAGGATAATCTTCGCGTTGTAACTGGTTCCTCATCTCTTCTAGTGGATTGTCCAAGTTAAGCTCGATTACGTTGGATAGTTTTAAACTTATATAAGTTTACCGAGTAATGGTCGATTTAAGTTAAACGAATGTAATCTGTGATAAGGAGGAGGAATAATGAGTATAAAAGAACGCGTAACGTAGAGGGAAGAAGAAAGGTTAAATTCTTGAAAATCAGGAGCAGGATCGGAAGCAGGAGGCAGCGAAAATACGCGCGCGTGGCGACGCGTGCCACGCTCCACGCCTACGCGACAAGCGTGGCCGAGTCTCGAAACAGAGACTCCATAGACTCGAGTCGCGAATGATTCGAGGCGAAACTTTCGACGACTCTCTCCCAGCTGGCCGTGTTTCCACCGCGCTTACGATGATCCCATTTTTCTTTTCCTCCTCTTTCGTATATATCCATCCTTCTTTCGCTAGAGACAGAGACAGAGTTAACAACGATCGAGGATTTTCTTGTCTCGGTTCCTCCTTAATGTCTCCGCGTTTTTTCTCACTGTGACGCGATAGCTCGACAAATCGATCGCGAGCCGAGATCCTTTTCGAACGAATTTTTCTTTTTCTCTCCTTCTTTCGATTTTCATTGAGATTGGCGATTTTTTTTTTCTTTTTTCGCTTTTCAACATTCTTCATTTTTTTCCTCTCATCGATGCGAGACAAAAATCAACAAGACATAGATCAACAAATTGGATGGAGAGCGAAGGAAAATCAAACGATCGAATTTATTATCTTCTTTTTCTCACCGACGCAAGACGAAGATAGATAAATCGTGAGCAGAGACGTTTTTTTCTTTCGCTCTTTCTCTATTACGTAACTATCTTTCTCTCCTCGTTAATGTAAGACAAATGGATATGTCGATCTCGGGCAAAGACAGACCATTGAATTTTTGTTTCACTCGTTCACCAATGCGAGACAAAGACGAATCAATCAATCGTGGATTTCTTTTCCTTCTTCTGTCACCGGCGCGAGACAAAGATAAATAAATCGATTACGAGCAGAGACATTTTAAACGTTCGATTTTTTTTCTTTCTCTACTACACATCTTTCTCTCAGTATAAGAGAAATATTGATCGAATTTTTTTTCTGCTCTTTCTCCGTTATACATCTATCCTTCTCTCCTCATCGACGTAAGATATCCGCAAATCGATCGCAGAGCAGATATACTTCACGCGATCAAAATTTTTTTTTCGCTCTTTCCGTCCTCGTCGGCGCGAGATAAAGATAGATAGATAAATCCATCACGTGCAGACTATCAATATTTTTCTCTTTTCCCATTACACGTAAACTTCAACGTAAGACAAATATAGACGTATCGATCGAATTTTTCTTTCTCTTTCTCCTCATTCTCGCATAAGACAAAAA